CCATTGCATCCTGCATAGTAGAAGAGTGTGCTTACTTTACTTGTATCTTCAGTTGTGGACTGTCCAAGGCATCTACAAACTGATGCTTCAGCAACAACTTGAGGACATTGGGTGGTGCAGTTGGGTAGGCCTTGTGTGCCATTCTTTCCAAGTCCTGTAGACTTCGAACTGATTTTGAGTTCCATACCTGAATTCTAAAGCAGCTACCAGTGCTCTATAATTGTGCTTGTCGTCTGCTGACAACTGTCCAAGTATTTCCAGTGGTTGTCCCTTCAAGCTCGTTGCCAGGTACACTGCTTTCTGCTCCTCTGTCCATCCATTCATTTCTGGAGCTCAAACTATGCTCTATATGCTTCCCATGGTGCCTTCCCATCGAATTCCTGTGGCTTCCTTTGTACTAGATCACCCCTATTGCTGACACTCATGTCTGGAATGTAACTTCTGACAGGACTGAATATGTCTGCATTAGGGTTTAGCTGCGGGGTCTGGAAGGGGCTTCCTGTTGTCTGGGGCTGATTAGGTCCATGGTTAATAAATCCTCCCTGTGTAAAAGACAGTAAATCGTCCTTTAATGTATCTGATTCACTTTGAAATTTACTAATCTTTTCCATTTGTGTATGCTGGCTTTCTCTAAACTGTTGGAGACTTTCTTCCTGTTTCTTTTCTCGTTCTTCTTGTTCCAGTTGCCACTGGTGCTGGTTTTCTTGCCACTGCTGTAGTCTCTCTTCTTGTTCATTTTCTTTCTCCTCCAACCACTGCTGTAGTCTCTCTTCTTGTTTGTTTTCTTTCTCCTCCAACCACTGCTGTAACCTCTCTTCTTGTTTGTTTTCTTTCTCCTCCCACCATTGCTGTAGCCTCTCTTCTTGTTTATTTTCTGCATTCAAACTTGAAAACGTCTGCTGATTCGATGAAGTTATCTTATGATAAGAGATCTACTAAAATCAGCTTTGTACCAGGAGACAAGGCGTGGTTGTATAATCCCAGGAAGACCAAAGGGAAGTCTCCTAAGTTGTCTTCTCCATGAGAAGGCCCATATGATATAGTGGATCTTCTCTCAGACGTGACTTTCCGAATAAAATGTGGTCAGCGAGGTAAGCCAAAAGTGGTGCATGCCAACAGGCTTTGGCGTTATCACGGTCCAGGACATTTCAGTTGGGATGAAGTGAACAATGGAACAAATGACGCTGCTGAAGTGTGCAGTTTTACAAAATATAACACTTAGCACAACTCAACAAAAACTAAATATTATAATAGGTTCATTTATTCACATGAATCTTTCAACATACTCAAAATTCTTATCCACTTCTCAGGCAACACCTGGGCTACAGACTAATGTGTTGATCAACAAATAAAATTTAATCTACTTGGCTGTTTCAACTATTGTACCTTTGTTAGTTTTAGATACAAAACTATCAATAATTAGGATTATTTTCTCAAGGTAGAACCTACAACTCTCATCCATAGTTTTACTGGTATATGTGGAACAATGTGTAAACCACTGATCAACGTCTGTGTGAAAGTTGACAGGAAAATAGTTTCTGCACATTCACAATAGTGTGGTACATTTCATGGTGCCCCCCATCCTGAAGTAGTTCCTGCTTTACTGCTGCATGACTGCTTCAGGTTCTCTTATTTGGGTGTCCATCTAAATCTAGAACTGTTACTACTAGCATGATTAGTCATCATTGCTGCTGTATAGTGTACAGGATGAGAACATTCAACAGACATGATCTCACAGGTTGGAGAGAGTGCCTGTTAGCGTTTCCATGCTTTCCACCTCAGATACTGAAGTTAGCTCTATGACCAATCTGGATTTCTGCATGTTCTCCAAATTATATTAACCATGGGCAACACACCTACAATGAATAATAAATTAACTATTTGTCATTTACATCTCATAAAACTCATAACTGTATTATAAAGAAACATTTTATCCTAAAACTCCAGGACCATGTAAGTAGGAGTGATGTTCAGTCTTCATTACCTATAGCATTGATTATTTTATTCAAGGCAGATAGCTGTTGTGGATTGAGATTTTTGATTTTTTTTGTTGTGCAGCTTTTGATGCATTAAAAATTAGGCTTTTATTACTTGAAATAGGTCCAGGATCTGGTAAATTGAACGAAGAAAATTCTAGACTACGAGCTTTCAGTGGTTTTGATGTCAAACAATGCTTTTTATTTGCTAAAAGATTCATTTCATTACAATAATTTTCCCACAATGTTAAATCATTTGTAAGTTGACAAAAAATACAAATGAAAGCAAAAGTTTGCCTTAGTTGTGTTGGCATTTGAAAGACAGTTGCTTCCTCCAAACATCCATACCATTCATCATCATTTTCCAATAAATGTTGTTCACTACTTCTTTAAAAATGGGACAAACTTTTCCATCAACAACAGTGTGCAAATCTTTAAAGCTTGTTGCACTGCCAATGTGTAGCAAGAGCAATCAAAGATAGCATCTTTTGGAACCTTAGAGCTAAAAGTATACATTCATGGAATAATTTTACAATGACCAAGTTGCCATTTCTTCCCAACATTATTTTGAAATACATAATGGTATGGAATTTCTGTATACATATAGATATTGTCTTGCATTAACATCAGATTCATTGAGAGTGAAGAATTCTGTCAATGTTGTTGATGTATAGTTAGCATAATACAAGACTTCTTGATGAAGGGGGAAATGAGCAGCAAGACAAATAAATATATGGGATTGATCATGCATTTTGAGCTTCAATAATCTCTACATTGCTTTGCATGCACTCATAAATCTGGAATCTAAAAGGGCAGCTACCTTATCATAAGTCAGCTGTTAGTGGTTGTTGTTTTCAATAATGAAAACTTTTGCACAAACATATTTTTATATTTATATGTGAATACATATTTAAATGATTTCATAGAAGTGCATGTTTTCAAGTTGATGTGTGCGTCATATTTTAAAGATACATATTTATTGTAGGGCACAATATATCTATTGTCTACAGGAATACCTTTTATTAAAGTTAACATTTTCTTACACTGATAATGTATTTCCGATAGATTCTTACAGAATAGCTTTTCCCAACTTGTACTGCTCTCTATATACATAAATTTTTGCTTGCCAATAGTCTTGACACTCCCTCCTAGCCTCACATGTTTTCATGTGAGGCAGCTGAGCCATAGCATGCAAATAAACATGTGACAATCCTCCACCAATAGAAGTGCGACACAACACCTAGCACAACTGACTCCCTCTATGCAACTTAGCCTAAAGTCACTTCAAGATTGAGCAACAGAAACGGAAAAGACACCAGAAGTGGGGAGAAGAGGTAAGAATCTATCAGAAATACATTTGCAGTGTTGGAAAATGTTAAGTGCCAATATCATATCTTACCTCCTCTCACAGAATAGCTAGAATCCCACACTGACATGGTGGAGGGACCAGTTTAACAGTACCTAGATAAGCCCCATTCAGAAAGTGTCCAAAGGAAGCTCATTGGGTGTGTGAATATAGAGTATGTAAGACACATCTGTGGGAGACCTCACCACTTCTTGAGCCAGGTATACCCTAAGCCTGTGAAAAGTTATGTATTGCAATTAGGAAGGAATAATAGGAGGGACCACAGGAATTAAATGAAGAAACCCCTGGTGTATAGTGGATCATAAGGGGGAGTTCAACCTCAACAAACAAGAGCAGTACTGTGATAGGAATATCTGGCCCATGGTAGAAAGAGGGTCCTCTACCATTCATCTCAGACATGGGAAATGAAAGGGAAGAAGATCTTCCATTCCAAGGACCAACATCATCATGTGTGCATGTTCAACGCAACCAACACCAGTACCCCTCGTGGAACCAACATCCAGATGACAGTAGAAAAGTAGACAGCCACTCACATGTTAGGACTTATGTGGTCCAGCTCCAACCAACACTAGTACCTCCTGGAAACCAATATCTGGGAGATGGTAGGAAGAAGGTGCCCAGCCAGAGGGGTAAACTGCAATTTGGCAGAAATCTTCCAGTCCATAACCTGGAATAGTACATCAGATCCATGGTAGGAGGAGTGTCTATACACCATCTACACTGGCAAAATACCACCACCCTACCCTTAACTGACTGGAATTGAGCACACTCAGGAGGAAGCCTTCATGGTTACCACTCCAGTGGTTAGGAACTGGTAAATGGCAAGGAGAGTTTGGAGGAACGCAGCACCGGAGACAGTGATCATGAAACAGACTATTCCTGATTCAGTCAGATGAAGAAGCAGCAGGAATGAGCAGCAATCTCCTTCTGCTTTACTCATGTTAGTCCATGAGTATGCAGTCTGGAGCAAACAAAACAATGCAAGGAAAAATCTACAAGTGTTCTTACAGAACATCCAATCTCAATGGTGGGCTTTATTGACCAGAATGGTCACACAGTGTGGGTTTAAGGCACTGCAAAGATCATGTATCATGCATCTTATTACAATTTCATGTAATTGTGATTGTGTCTGTTGATCAGGTATCTCAACATTTACAGTGTGATCAATTAAGTCGACATTATTGATTTTGTCTTCTATTTTCAAAGTAATCAAAATGTGTGCATATGCAAACTTCTTTTTTAGAATTCAATTCTCCGAGCACTGCAGTCACTAAGGTATCCAACTTTAATTTACACACACGTGCCACTAAATCAGGCCTAACAGATGGATGTAGATCCAGTCGTACATTTTCTCTGACTTCTGGCCAATTAGGGTTGCATGTGAACATTACAAACCAATCAAGGCATCCAAACTTTGATATAATTGTCAATGCATCATGATTGCACTCTCTCATGTTTATAGGTGATCCTTGAAATGATCATGGCAATATCACTGTTCTTCCAGCTGGTACTCCGGCATTAGCAGCTGCATAAGATATATGTTCTGTTACTCCTTAGTAGTTCTCTGCTCGTAACTATGATTGTTTCAATTTGATATAATTACATTTATTGGTTTCAACTTGGAGATAAGAATACACAATCCACTGTTGTGTTAGTTTTCCAGCACTCAAAAGTGGATAGAAGTTGTCACGTGTTGCTGTTTGAGCAACCTTGTATTGAAGAATGGAGATTTTGTTCCTGACAGTATTTTTGGATAATCATTCATTCATTTACATATTTGGTTGCCAGTCAGGTTCACCATATTGGTAAAGCAACACATGTCATTGAATCTAAGTTTGATCTTAAGACATTTAGATTAATTAATTGTTTTACTTGCACTCTTATATAAATATGTATATCTCTGTGAAATGGTGATTCTCCATTTTCATTTTTGAAAACTATTGCAATTTCAGTGGCAAATTGTAATATCTTCTGTCACTTCTATTTTTACATAGAATCATATTCACAGTTGGTATTGTTCAATTCTCTCTCAATGCTTTTTTCCACTCTTCTTTTTCAATTTCACTTCACATTCTGTATGCCTGAGTAAATGGATTATTTTCTCTTATTATTTTGTTGAGTTACTTCATTACAGCACTGTCAAATTGTCTATTTTCATACAGATTCATTTGCTCCTCTACACCTTCATTAGAATCAAAAACATACAGTTAAGCAAATTTACATTACTCTTCAATAGGTGGTTTCGAGAAGTTTGATGATAAATTTGTCCAATGAATTCTGAAACAATATAGTCCATGACCTTGAACATCAACTAGTTTTGCTTTCATTAATGCAAACGATAATATACTGTTGTATAAACAGATGTTTTTGTGATGTTGGACTCAACATAAGTTCTCTCAAATACTGAGGAAATGGTTGTCCTTCTTCCAATCTTACTTTCTCTTAATGGCAACAATTGTTGGATTTACCATCAGATGGTTTTTCCTTTTTAAAATTTTTTGAGTAACAAAATTTGCACATTGTTGACATTGAACCACAACTGTGCTGCTCTACTGAGCCCTCTTGATAGATATTAATTGGTACAGCTTTTTATCCATGTCTAAATTGTTCATGTCTTTCAACATCAATTTGTCTTCTTTCTTCAGGAGTTTCTTTTGACCATCTCAATGCTATTTGCTATGCTTCAGCTATCCTAGTTTTTGCTCATCTTTCTTGACTTTGTAGTGTTATCCACTGATTTTTTCATTTTCTTGCTAACCAATATTTTTTCTTCCTTGAGTTGTTTCATTGTTTCCATTTGCATATCTGTCACCATCAATTTGTGTTGTTTCTTCAGTTTCATTTTAGCATCTCCATGCTATTTATTCTGACTCAGTTATCCTAATTGTTTCTAATCTCAATTTCTTCATTCTCTTGTTAACCAACGTTTTCTTTCTTGCACTGTTTCACAGTACCTGTTTGCATGTCTTTCAGCATCAATTTGTTTTCTTCGTGTTGTTTCTTCAGGAGTTTCATTTGACCGTCTCAATGCTATTCGCTGTGCTGCAGTTATTCTAATTCTTGCTAATCTTTCTTGACTTTGTCGTGCCGTCCATCGCCTTTTTCTTTCCCTTCCTAACCGACGTTTTCTTTCTTGTATTGTTTCATCGATTCCGTTTGCATATCTTTGAGAATCAATTTGTTTTCTTCGTATTGTTTCTTCACGAGTTTCATTTGACCGTCTCAATGCTATTTGCTGTGCTGCAGTTATTCTAATTTTTGCTAAGCTTTCTTGACTTTGTCGTGCCATCCATCGCCTTTTTCTTTCCCTACCTAACCGACGTTTTCGTTCTTGTGCTGTTTCATTGTTTCCATTTGCATATCTTTCAGCATCATTTTGTGTTGTTTCTTCATGAGCTTCATTTGACCATCTCAATGCTATTTTTTCTGTTTCAGTTATCCTAATTTTTGCTAAGCTGTCTTGACATTGTTGTGTTATACATTGATTTTCTCTTTCACTTGTTAACCGACATTTTCTTTCTTTAGCTGTTTCATTGTTTCTTTTTGCATGTCTTTCAGCATCAGTTTGTCTTCTTCGTGTCGTTTCTTCAGGAGTTTCATTTGATCGTTTCAATGCTATTCGCTGTGCTTCAATTATCCTAATTTTTGCTAAGCTTTCTTGACTTTGTCGTGCCATCCATCGCCTTTTCCTTTCTCTTCCTAACCGACGTTTTCTTTCTTGTGCTGTTTCATTGTTTCTGTTTACATGTTTTTCTGTATCAGTTAGTTTTCTTTCTGTTGTTTCTTCATGAGTTTCATTTGGCTGTCTCAATGTTATTTGTTCTGCTTCAGTTACCCTAATGTTTTCTAATCTTTTTTGACTTTGTCGTGCCATCCATCGATTCTTTCTTTCTCTTCTTAATGGACATTTTCTTTCTTGCACTGTTTCATTTTTTCTGTTTGCACATCTTCTTTGTGTTGTTCCTTCACTTGATCGTCTCAATACTTTTTGCTCTGCTACAGATGTCCTAATTTTTGGTAATCTTTCTTGACTTTCTCGTGCCATCAATCGCCTTTTTCTTTCTCTTGCTAAATGATGTTTTTTTTCTTGCACTGTTTCTTGGTTTCCATCCATATTGGGTATTTCTATTTATAAATAGTAAGATATATTGAAGACGATAGTGTCATTAATAAATTACAAAACAAACCTTTTTAATTAATGCAAACACTAAATTAAGAAATCAACCAAACGAGTTTATTCTCTTTTTTGAATTATATCTATAAAATATTTGTTCAGTTTTGTTGTGTAAAAATCTGTGTTGAAATTTTTAATGACAGGAAGAGAAAGCAGATTTCAAATGCATTAATAAAAAGCAGTCTGAAAATTAATACGAAATATCATTTGGTAGGAAGTTAAAATTGTAAGTTACTTTTAGTTTGAACACATATAGAACCATGTACAAAAAGAATTCTAAACTATTGTTAGTGTTATTCAGAATTTTAGTTTAGAATTAATTCAACGGAAATAAAAAGCTGAATGAATGTGTGTGGCTTGATGCCATGTTGTAAATGGAATGTTAACCAATGTCTCAAATTCCCGATTTAATGTATAATGGTATTTCTATTTTTCAGAATATTCAAAGAGCATGCTGTAAATATGGTCAGTTATGAAAAAACACATTTAACATAAACCCTCAACTCGGCTGGGATTTGAACATGAGATTTCTAAATGAGAGTCAAACACTAACCACTGAGCCACTTTGATATCCAGTCTTTGAAATCAAATGTTAAGAAATATTTCAAACCCCTAATTTAAACTGTCATGGTATTTGGGTTTTTCCAAAAACTGAAAGAGATTTGAATGCGAGACTTCCACTTTAGGTTTGGGCATTCTAACCACTGAGCCAATTTAAGCATTATCAACACATGGAACATTACCAAAAGACAGTTGGTTTTATATATATATATATATATGTATGTATATCACATCATGCAGTGATACTTTTCTACTTGTCTATATGATTAATGGATGTAGGTCTGTAAACATATACTCACCTGATAAACCTTCTAATCCAGAGTTAATTTGTTGAAACTCCTCTTTTGGTTCAATTTCTCTTTTCAAACTCATAACATCATGTTGTGTACAATCAACAGTTTCATCATCACTCTCACTGAACTTGGAAATAATGTCATTCTTTGTTGAATCAACACTTTGCTCAGTTTTAACAAATGTGTTCTAGTACAAAAAGAAAGATCAATAACAGCTTATGTTGTTAACAAAACACAAATACTACATGTAAAACTTGATAAGTTACAGCTGGTATTTTTACCTTGGAATCATACCTGCAAGTTTCTTTAGTAAATATATTCACTAAAAAACTGATTTACATAGCAAACACAAATATGTCAGTAGCTGGTGTGTTTTCATTTGTAAGCCCCACAATGATATATCCTGGGTTCATGGCACCAAAATTTTCTATTCCTACCTACTTTGTAGTATTCTAAGGTGAAACAGATTTCTCTCACGTGTGCCAAGACAAGTCCACAGAACAAAAGGGCATTCTACAAGATGTTTATCATGAAGTAATTCTGAAATCTGTGAGACTGACTGAGTTTAGGAAAGAAAGAGACTGAACACAACATAAAACAGAGTGAAAACAATTTTTATTTAACTCAAAAACAACAGACAGTACAACAAAAAGAACTTAATGACTTGTTTGATGAATGTGTTATGTAGAAACACATGTATTACAATAATTTAAGTGAGAGAAAATATAAGAATGATGAAATATACACTCCAAGTGCACCCATCATTTAAATTTTCAACACATATTAATATATTTTTATACATTCTTGACAGAAGTTTTAAACTTCTAATAATGAAAGTATTACAGTTAAATATCAAAAAGAAAACAACATATTAAATATAAATAAAGATTAATTTATCAAACCATTTCTATGTCTTATGTCTTAAAACGTTAACAAGAAATTAAAAGCTTAAAAAATGTATAATTGACCAGAACTTTTCATACTTTAGCAACAGATGCACACAAAAAAACAAACTAAACTTTACAAAGACATTCTTAAAACACATATAACTAGAGGGCTCTCAGTAGAGCACATACCTCTGCACGCAACATTGATCATATTCATCTCTCAAAAAAATAAGATAATGTGTCTATATGTTCATTGTTATGAACAGGCATGGGCCATTTTTGATATGACAATGAGGAATAATACTTTACATAAGCCCATCAAGTTTCATCAAAATCTGATAATTTTTTACTGAGTTTTAGAGCAAAAATAGCATGAAAAATCACTCTCCATGTTAACAGATAGAATTTTTTTTATTTTCCTGACCTTGGCCCTCCAAAACTAAGCACTTCTAAGTTGGGTCATAGTCCAAATGTATCCCAACTTTCATCCAAATCCATTTAGCCATTTTTGAGAAATCTTGCTGACAAACACACAAACAAACACAGGGGTGAACACATAACCTCCATCCATCTTCAGTGGTAGAGGTAACTATCAGACAGATTATTCATGAATATAAACAAAACAGTGCTAATTCTCAAATTTCATTTTTAAATATTTTCTCAAGCAGTCACTTTTTCACAGGTTCACGTTTTACTGAGACAAAATTCCTGTATTTTATTCTCTGCTAATTATAGCTGAGAACTAGCTCAATTTACTAATATAATAAATTGCTTACGTGCACCAATTAGATTGATTAGTGTTGCAAAAATAACTTTCTAATCAAAATAAATGTTTGTTGTAATTACTCTTTTTGATTATTACAACTATCCAAGTAATTGAAATATTACCATTGTGACTTCTCATTATTATTATTAATTTATTAAAAGTTGTTCAGCTTAACTGATTAGTGTCACATTCACAATAATAATCAGTGAATCCAAATTTGTGATCTAAATTATTATTATTTTCAATTATTCAAAATATGTAAGTGTCACATGAGAAAAACCAATTAGATGAATGTAATTGGTCGATGAGCCTGATAATTAATCAATTATTAAAATCCACTAATCATCAAGCACTACTACTAATTATTATAATTTTCTTTTTATAATTGGCAGTCACTCAAACACACACTTGACACCAAAAATAAAACAACTAATGTCATCTCTAAACATTAAGATGCCAGAAATCCTCAGAAATACACATTAAATTCACAGTTTTTGAAATAGTATTCATCCATGTCAAAAGGTTCCATAATCAAGTGGAGAAAAAAAGCCAAAGTTATATCATCTTGTTCATAGCTAAAGATATTTTTCAATGTTACTTATTCAGAAACGTGGAGAGCCAGCATGGGCCCCGGGGCAAATATCCTCCCCGGGCCCCCTTTTTCTCTCTCTCTCTTTTTTAACATTTTCAAGAATTTATTAAAAAGAAGATCCTAAATTAGGACAGCAACATGCACATGAACCAGACAAAATCATAGCAGCAGCCATTTTTACCTCACAGTATAGGCATAAAAATGTTAATAAAGTAACAACAAATATCTATTAAATGTATAAAGTAACAACAAATATCTATTAAATGTATAAAGTAACAAATACATATTAATTATTACTCAAATTATTATTTCAGTCGTTCTTAATGTATCAAGCGTCTATATGCAAAGAAAAGCCAAAAACTATGGTTTTTTATCATTAAATGAAGATATAGCCTAAAGATGCCTTGCGGGCTTTACGGCATAACTAGGTTTCATTCGCCCCGTCCCCTGGGCAGTTGCCCCCCCCCCTTCCTGTCGGCAGGCCTGTACTCATTCAAAACAAAAAAAAATTGGAGATAATGAACAACTTCAAATTCAATACTTCATTAATGTTTGCTAAAATATATCTAGCTATTTATCCCTACTAAGATAATTATAAGTTCTTTTTAATCTAAAAATTACCTCAGTTTCCTTTGGTACTTCAAACTTTTCCTTCTTTATTTCAAAATCAAAAACTGTAAATGGAGATCCTTCTTCTGGGGAAGCAGCTTCTATTGTCACTAGAAGTGTAAATTACGTATTTCTATGACAACACATTTGAACATGACTTCTGTGTTTCACTACATTGTGACAAGTTCTCACTGTGAAATGACACATTTTCTTCACACTAGTCCAGTTTCACCTTTCTTTAATCTTCACTCTAATAGACTGGTATTTAATTATAATAACACTGAATGAGAAATAATTAAAAGTAATCTTCCTCCAAGTGTAGTTTTTGATTTAGAATTTACTTGTAAATTAATTAGTCTAATAATATTACATATGCATGCTATTTGTAATGTGTAGTACAAGGTGTCCATAAATCATTGGGCCTCTTATCATTATTCAAATAATTTATAATCAGAAATTTTAAAATAATTAATATTGTCAATATCTTCCAAGATTAATCCTGTTTCAGTGAACCATTTTCACATCAGCATGTTACTTACATCAAATGGTTTTGAACTCTTCAAAATCTATTCCACATAAAGTTAACTATTCAATTCTATGATTTATTTTTAATCACAAATACATCTTAAAATCTCAAAATAAAAAAATGTGGATTACAAATCACATTTGACCTACTACCAATTTAAGTTATTTTTTAATAATGTACTGTTTTACATTTATTGCTGCGATACTGAATGATATGATTCATATATACAGTCATAAAAGTTAAAGAACAAACAATAATTATATCCAAATATATCTAACTATACAAATCGAGTATCAACTGAAATCATTTTTTTTATATTTACTTCTTACTCCTTTGTGTTGGTTACTTTAACATATTCTACCAGTTCTTTACACATGTATCTTTATGCTTAAATGTTCACTTAATGAAATAAATTATGGCTGCTCACCAGAAACAATTCTTGTCATGATGGACAAAGCACAGATGTTACAAAATGCCTCATGCAGTATTACACAATAAAACTAAAACTCAAAAACTGTAAAAGGAACATAGATATTATAACAGTTCTGTGTTAATATTAATCATTTGTTCTGTGTCACTAGTTCATATTAATATAAATTATAATAATAGAGTTAAACTATCAATTAATGCATGAAATCTTTTGCACATATTCGTGCCATGTTATTGTTAGTGTTTCACATAGGATTCAAATCCTATATATTTGAACTTACTGTTGCGTCAGCGAGTCACATGACTACAGTGACGCAACGTTTCTAGAACTATCATGTACTTTGGCGAATGCTCTAGTATTTACTAGGGTAGGTGGGTATATATATAAGAGGGGACAACGTGACGGGAGGATAATGCAATGTGTGTGTATAGATAGTGAGTAATTGAACTGCAGTCAGAAATATTGTTGACG